AATAAATAAAATGAATAATTTAAACATGGGTATTATGGTAATAGTAGCTTCTTCACCTTGAAGATTCAGAAAGATAATAATGCAGGAAAGGCATTGTGCAGTTTTGTGTTTCTTCCTTGGATCCAGGTTCCCGTTGTGACCATCAGCTCTAAGCAGCAGAGGTTACAGCTTTCCTGCTCTTGAGAGAGCAGAGAGTTCACCTCCTATGTTTCTCAGACTGTTGCTTTGCAGAGATCTCTGCACTGATTCTCACCTCCTGTAGGCAGAGCAAGTGCAGGAGCAGAATAGTGGCCTTGAACTTGGCTAACATGTTGGAGCCAGTGTTGCCTGGCTGCACCTAAAACGCTAATGTAAACTGGCTATGATGCCCGTGTAGGGGCTCAGATGTAGAAGCAAAGCAGGATGACTTTACTCAGGCTGGTGACAGGCCCAGAGCAGTGTTCCCATTGGAGAAAGTGGAGGGCATAGCGGGAGGGAGAATTTGCTCAGTCTGGCCTGGTGGCACTGTTTTATTAATGATCTGGAGGAGCAGAGGAACAGTGACTTTAATTAAATTTGCCAGTGATATTAAAAGATGTCAGGAGCCACTGCTGAGGACACAGACACCTTGCAGATGGCCCCGAGGGGGCGGGGGTGTCAGGAAAAAAGAGAGGAGAGGCTTTGGCTTGAACCAGTGCTCAGTTTGGCTGAGAGGGAGGAATGTGACCTGGGGGTGGAGGGTCCTCATCTGTGGACCTACCACAGCTTCACCCTCCTTATCTGAGTCTGTTCCATTTGCAGTTGCTTCCTACCTGATCTTCCTGCTCTAGTCTTGCCCCCTTACAACCATCCTAAACCCTTTAGTGAAATTGGTTATTCTACAAAACAAATCAGACCCTGTCATTCTGCTGCTTAAAATCCCTTCATGGGCTTCTCACTGCCTTTCGGCTAAAATCCCATCCTTGCAACCTGGCCTCTAAGACTTGCCAGGAGCAAAGGAGTCTTCTATGGTCAGCCTCAGCTTCCGAGCCTCCTGCCTCACCCTGCGTTCCTCGTTATCCCATGGCCACAACGGGCTTTCCCATGTCTGCCTGTCTGCTGGACTCCAGCTATTCTCTTTGACTCAAATGCCCTTCCTACTTTCTTTTTCTCTTTTTGACTAAAGCTCACTCATGCTTGAAGACTCATTTCAGGGATCACCTCCTTCGGAACGCCTCCCTGAATCCCCAAGCTGGCTCAGGGCCTGCTCAGTCCTCTCCCAGCATTCTGCCTTTACCTCTGCTTTTGAATTGAAGAGTATCTGTGTGTCTCCCTCCCCCTGCTCCACCGTACCTTTGAGAGCAAACCCCTGTCTGATTTTTCATTTTGCCCACCAGTGTCTAGTGCCAGGCTCAGCGAAGCACGGGCTTTTGTCAGGGGTTGTCAAACTGAACTGAAGAGAATGTTCAGGTGGGAGACTGTAGCAGGCAGCCAGGACACCCCAAGTAAACCTGCCAGTGGCTAGCCTCTTCTATGAGGGGACAGTCAGTCACATGGCTGCTGAGTCCATACCAGCTGGATTGGGGAATCACAGTTCTACAGCCAAGTGGGACATCTTTGTAAAATGGAGTGGTTAAGGCACATTTTATGTCATCAGCGTGCTTGTTCTGGGCCACTCTTCCTTCCTGTATACTTTGAATAAGTGACTTAACTAAGACACAAGTTTCCCAGAATGTAAAATAGGGATGAAAACATGAGTAATTTCATAGAGTTGGTATGAAAATTACATGAGTACTTAGCATTATGTATACAATCAACACGTATAAATGTTAATTGCTATCATTAATATCTGTTGTTATCTGGGGAGGTCCACAGGGTCTCCAATGGAGTCCTGGACCTGAGTATGCCACAGGTCATTTGGGATCCATCTCACTGGTGTCTGGGCCCGGAGCAATAGCACCAAAGAAATGACCATTGACTTGGTCATGGAAGCTGCCTTCTCTCCCTCTGGTATCTCAGCCAGAAACAATTTCCTGGGAGGAAGAGAAAGAGCAACTGGGAATTCCCAGGGCATTTTCCACCAAAAGTTCTAAAACCTGGATTCAGGCATTCACTAACCACCTCTTGCCTGTCTTCTTTTGTCCTTTCCTTCCTTTGTCTTTCTAAACTGGCTTCTGATTCTACCCACAGGGTAGCATATTCCACCCCCCTAGACGCCCAGCACCAGTGTCTGCAAGGCCAAGGGCGAATAAAGACCTTGAGCCACATTAATTCTCCTAGCGCCAGTGACCCCATCAATCAGGATAACGCTATAACCCGAGTGCTCCATGTCCATTTCCCCCAGAAGGCCAACTCTCTTCCTTCACCTGTGGATACCTCGTCCCCTTGGGGCTGCCACCTCCCGTCACCACATGGCTCCTGATTAAACAGCTGCTTCAGCTGTGTCCAAGTTCTGTCCCCTTCTGCACAAGGCATATCAGAATTGACAACGTCAGGGTGCTCGGAGGTCACGGCAAGGAGCCACAATCACTCTGTGCATTTCTGCAGGTGGGTGAGTGTCTAACCTGGGGATGAGGCTCTCTGTGCACGTCAGAGTTACGAGAGCTTTGCCAACCATTGAAAATGGATGCCGAGGCCGGCGCCGCGGCTCACTAGGCTAATCCTCCGCCTGCGGTGCCAGCACCCCGAGTTCTAGTCCCGGTCGGGGCGCCGGATTCTGTCCCGGTTGCCCCTCTTCCAGGCCAGCTCTCTGCTGTGGCCAGGGAGTGCAGTGGAGGATGGCCCAAGTCCTTGGGCCCTGCACCCGCATGGAAGACCAGGAGAAGCACCTGGTTCCTGGCTTCGGATCAGCGCAATGCAACGGCTGCAGCGCGCCGGCCGCGGTGGCCGTTGGAGGGTGAATCTCTGTCTCTCTCTCTCTCTCACTGTCCACTCTGCCTGTCGAAAGAAAGAAAGAAAGAAAGAAAGAAAGAAAGAAAGAAAGAAAGAAAGAAAGGAAGGAAGGAAGGAAGGAAGGAAGGAAGGAAGGAAGGAAGGAAGGAAGGAAGGAAGGAAGGAAGGAAGGAGAAAATGGATGCCGAACATCTTCAATCACCCAGCTCTTCCACAGTCATCCTCATGGCATCTTCTCCGACTTCAGTAGCTGGACCAGTGGGTAACGTGGGCCTCAGCATTGGCTGCCGTTCTGGGGCACAGGAAACCATGTTAATCCACAGAGTCCTTTGGAAGAGAGGCCTTTCTGGTTATAGCAGGCACCTGGCATGCTATGTCCCAAAGGGAGTTTCTCTTTGATTACAAGCTTAAAGGATTTAAAGAGGTCTGACATAGCTTCTAAATGATAGTCAGAATTTGTCCATAAGCTTGCCATGTATTTCCAAAACAAATGTTGTGATTTAGATCATAAAATTTTTTTTAAAAAAGATCTTATTTATTTATTTGAGAGGTAGAATTACAGAGAGAGGGAGAGACAAAGAAAGTTCTTCTATCTGCTGGTTCACTCCCCCAAATGGCTGCAACGACTGGCGCTGGGCTGATCTGAAGCCAGGATTTTCCTCTGGGTCTCCCATATGGGTGCAGGGGCCCAAGGACTTGGACCATCTTCCACTGTTTTCCCAGGCCATTAGCAGAAAGCTGGATTGGAAGTGGAGCAACCAGGACTCAAACTGGCATCCATATGGAATGCCAGCGCTGTTACCCACTATGCCACAGTGCCAGCCCCATATCTTTCTTTTTTAAAAAAATTATTTATTTAGATGACAGAGTACAAATATATATATATATATACACACACACATACAAGTATATATGTATACACACGTGTGTGTGTGTGTGAGAGAGAGAGAGAGAGTAGAGAGAGAGAGAGAAAGAGAGAGCGGTATCTTCCATTCATTAGTTCATGCCCCAAATGGCTGCAGTAGCCAGGGTTAGGCCTGCTGAAACCAGGAGCACGGAGCTCCATCTAGGTCTCCCACATGGATGACAAGGGCCCAAGTACTTGAGCCATTTTTTGCTGCTTTCCCAGGCACATTAGCACTGAGCTGGATCAGTAGAGCAGCTGGAACTCAAATTAGTGCTCCAATATGGGATTCCATTTTTGCAAGCAGCAGCTTAACTCACTGTGCCACAACACTGGGCCCTCCATTTCTGTTTTCTTTCCATTCACTTTGTACTCACCTTTTAGTGGTGTGAGGTCAGCACATGAGGCTATATTTCACCCCCAGATCTTGTCTCTATTAACCAATAGCTGATTTGCTTTATTAATAGTAAGTTGTACCATTTGGATCTTTCCATGTTTGAGTTAAGAATTGGAGTTACTGGTTGATATTTATCATCCTGTAACCAACTGCCTGAACCATCCATGAGTATATTTCGTTGGCGTGTTTAGAGCTGCTGTGGACTCAGCCTTGGGCACACTGTACAGGACTTCAGTTGAGCTACAGGGCAGTAGTATTCCCTGTGAATGGGCTCTTTCAGTTTCCCACACTCAGAATCATCACTCGCCTCCCGAAGTTTTGGATTTGGGGAGAAAGTTTTTAACCTACACACAGAGCAAAGTATTCTCTCTTGGGGGACTAACCCATGGTAATGTAATTCAGTATGTACCCTTGCCCCAAACTTATTTTATGCAAAATTCTCGAGCATGATGATAATGGAACAAGAAGGCTGAGAACCCTAGAAACAGCTTCAGTGGCAGTGAAGATGCAGGCCTGTCTTATCCGTGGCCTGTCTTCAGTTGAGTCTTGAGAGTCTCACAGATTGCACTGGGGTTGGAAGGTAAGACTAGAAGGGTATCACTTGTGTTTCCATTACCAGTATTCCCAGCTATCTCAAGCCATTCTTTAACTCTGTCTCCCCAGCTGATAGTTTTGAGGACAGAACAGCAATTGGTGCCTCCCAATGACGTCTGTTTTTCCAAGTGAGGTACTGCCCCAAAGTTCATGCCTTATATCACCCAAGGTGAAGCATCCTTTTGTGTTGGTGGGAACCTACCCTTTGCTGACCCAATTTCTCAAGCCTTTTCCTGCCCCTCTGATCTTTCCTAGGTCTCTGGCCTGTCAGGAGGACCCTTGGTGCTGCGGTGGAAGCCAGCGGCTAAGTCTCGTGTATGGCGTGGTTAAGGTTGCAGCCTCTCACCTCTGCCTTCCTCCATTTTGGGCTGGTTACTTTTGTGCTCTTCCTGAACAGTCTTCGGGCAGAGGCTGGTGGCTCAGGGGATGTGCCCAGCACAGGGCAGAACAATGAGTCCTGTTCGGGGTCATCAGACTGCAAAGAGGGCGTCATCCTACCCATCTGGTATCCGGAGAACCCTTCCCTTGGGGACAAGATTGCCAGGGTCATTGTCTATTTCGTAGCCCTGATATACATGTTTCTAGGGGTGTCCATCATTGCTGACCGTTTCATGGCATCTATTGAGGTCATCACCTCTCAGGAGAGAGAGGTGACTATCAGAAAGCCCAATGGAGAGACCAGCACAACCACGATTCGGGTCTGGAATGAAACTGTCTCCAACCTGACTCTTATGGCTCTGGGTTCCTCCGCTCCCGAAATACTCCTCTCTTTAATTGAGGTGTGTGGTCACGGGTTCATTGCTGGTGATCTGGGACCTTCCACCATTGTAGGCAGCGCAGCCTTCAACATGTTCATTATCATTGGCATCTGTGTCTACGTGATCCCCGATGGAGAGACACGCAAGATCAAGCACTTACGAGTCTTCTTTGTCACCGCTGCTTGGAGTATCTTTGCCTACATCTGGCTCTATATGATCCTGGCAGTCTTCTCCCCTGGTGTGGTTCAGGTTTGGGAAGGCCTCCTCACTCTCTTCTTCTTCCCGGTGTGTGTCCTTCTGGCCTGGGTGGCAGATAAACGACTGCTGTTCTACAAATACATGCACAAAAAGTACCGCACAGATAAACACCGGGGAATTATCATAGAGACTGAGGGTGAGCACCCCAAGGGCATTGAGATGGATGGGAAAATGATGAATTCCCACTTCCTGGATGGGAACCTGGTGCCCCTGGAAGGGAAGGAAGTGGATGAGTCCCGCAGGGAGATGATCCGGATTCTCAAGGATCTGAAGCAGAAGCATCCAGAGAAGGACTTGGATCAGTTGGTGGAGATGGCCAATTACTATGCCCTTTCCCACCAGCAGAAGAGCCGCGCCTTCTACCGGATCCAGGCCACCCGCATGATGACGGGCGCAGGCAACATCCTGAAGAAGCACGCGGCAGAACAAGCCAAGAAGGCGTCCAGCATGAGTGAGGTGCACACCGACGAGCCGGAGGACTTTGTCTCCAAGATCTTCTTTGACCCATGTTCTTACCAGTGTCTGGAGAACTGTGGGGCCGTGCTCCTGACAGTGGTGAGGAAAGGGGGAGACATGTCCAAGACCATGTATGTGGACTACAAAACAGAGGATGGTTCTGCCAATGCCGGGGCTGACTATGAGTTCACTGAGGGCACCGTGGTGCTGAAGCCAGGAGAGACGCAGAAGGAGTTCTCCGTGGGCATCATTGATGACGACATTTTCGAGGAAGACGAGCACTTCTTTGTGAGGCTGAGCAACGTCCGCGTAGAGGAGGAGCAGCTGGAGGAGGGGATGCCTCCAACCATGCTCAACAGTCTTCCCTTGCCTCAAGCTGTCCTAGCGTCCCCTTGTGTGGCCACAGTGACTATCTTGGATGATGACCATGCAGGCATCTTCACTTTTGAGTGTGACACTGTTCACGTCAGTGAGAGTATTGGTGTTATGGAGGTCAAGGTTCTGCGGACCTCAGGTGCCCGGGGCACAGTCATCGTCCCCTTTAGGACAGTGGAAGGGACAGCCAAGGGTGGTGGTGAGGACTTTGAAGACACATACGGGGAGCTGGAATTCCAGAATGACGAGACTGTGTAAGTGACCTCTTTGTATTCTCCGCCTCCCCACTCCATCTCTTGCCTTCTCTTTCTGTCCCTCTGTTCCCTTCTTCGGACGCTCTTGCTTGTGTCTGTGCTAACATCAAACTTTGGTTCTGTCACAGGTGTGTGGGATCAGCAGACACTACCGGCCAGGTTCTGCTTCCAAACCCCCTTCCAGTTTTCTCTCGTTAAATTGTGGCTGGACAAGGAATCTGGTGACAGGGCCTCTGGGTACAGGACACTTTGTCCACTGAATGATGGCCGGTGGGGGTGTGGCTTGACCAGTATTTTGTGATAGCGGATTTTGGAGGGTTCTGTGACTAAACAGGAGCTTGGAAGCTGCTTATTAGGCCTCTCCTTTCTGCCCACCTCATACCAAAAGCTTCTGAACTTTGAAACCAGTCTTTTCTGTTCTGTGGTAGGGATAGCCCACTCAGGACACTCCCAAGGGAACAGGCGGCATTGGCTGGTCCCATTCTGCAGTTGGATAGCCAAGTGACAGGCACCTTGGAAATTGTAAAATTTATTGAAAGGCCCGTATGCTGTTTTACAGTGCAGGGTTCCCCAGCCTAGGTGAGCTGGACCGGTCTGACTCGTGTCCTGGAGGTATGTTGGAGAAGTAGTGCTCCCAGGGCAGTCTCGGCTCTAAACTCTGAAATATGGCCACGCAGTGAAGAAGAAGCCTTTTCAGAACTGTGGGAGAAAAATCCATCTTCTGTGGGGTCATCTTTCACAGTCCTTGGCTCTCCTGAAATACTTCTCGGGTTACTGATACATGTAGTCTCTCAGAGACCGCAGGTGTCTCTGTGACCCCACAGTGTCTCCCCCAGTGAGCCTTCTTGCAGATGGGGTGTACTGTTCTTTTCCTAGCTGGAGGGCTTTGAAAAAGAAAACAGACTGCCTTTTTCCTGGGATTTACAGCCTACGAGATGGTAGACTTTCTCGGGTGGCCGAGTAGGATGGAGATGAGAAAGGGGAGCCTGTCTCTGAATTCCTGTTGGTTTGCACAAGCAACAAGGAGAAGCCGCAGATGCTGTGAAGGGTACAAAAAGGGAGATGTGCAATTGCCTTGAGAACCTGAGATGAAACCATACGGCTTCTACAAGAGGGAGGGAAGGAACGCTCCGGAAAGAGGGATCTTCAGACACAGGAAGAAGTGTCCTAGAAGTCCTTCTTCAAAAAGGGCGGGTTCTGCTGACTATGGAGCTGAGTGACCCCCGGGACTCTGCTCCTGCCCCAATTCAAATCCCTTGCTAATCATGTGACTTTGGGCAAGTCATTTGGTGGTTCTGGAACTACCTGTCTCACATGCAAAGTGGGAATAACATTATGTTCCTTGCCTGGAGGCAGGGTGCGATCTTTCTGGAGTTCCTTCCCGATCTGGGATTGTCTGGAGCATTGACACAGGTGCTCAGTGTAGGTCATATTTGTATTAAGCCAAAAATGGAACAGGGGATATTGTCTGCTGAAGGAAAATAGCTGTTGACAAATTGATTTATTAGGGCTCTGTTTAGTGATTTTGCTGGGAAGGATAATCATTTGTTAGCGTAAGTAAAAACCTGTGTCTTCCAGAGAATACTATCCATTTATATATGCTCTGGGGAGAGAGCTTATACATACAAATGAAGGACAGGCCCCACTGGGAAGACAAACTCTGAAATTTCACACGTTTGTGGTAATGTCAGTCGGCATCGTATGACACCGAGACCACAAAATTTGCTGCAAATTTGCTGCAATTCGCCAGCCTCAGGGTGCCTCTGATTTGGTACCCTGTCTACTGATGGCAGGGAAGGTAGTTTTTGAGAGAGCAGAGACTGGGCTCCAATTTCCTTATTCTCTTAGTAATTATTCATATGCCTGTGATCTCTGATGTGACTAAACCTTCCTCAGATTCATGTGGGCTTCAGTTTATGCAGTACCTGGGGGTAAGTGAGCCTGATAAGTGATCACATGTAGGTGACATTGACTCTACGTGCGTGTCAACCTCCAGAGGTTTAAGATCCTAATCCAGATATTTCAGGCTTTGGTAAACAATTCTGTGCTTCCATCTGTTCTTTGCATTGTGTCTTTAGATTCTAGTGTAGTTCTATCCCTTTAGACTTCTTCATTGTAGAGTAATGAGTCCAGAACCCACTACTCTGTCCTCACCTAGTGGCCCTGCCCTTGACAAATTGTAATTTTCCAACTTGAAGCAGTGTTATGTAAGCAGAAAAGCCATGGGTTCTAAGTACTCTGGATTAGAGTTCTGGCTCTATTACAGATTTAACTATGTGGTTTGGGAAAATCTTATCAACTTAGGAGGTCATTTCCTCATTGGTTAAATGGGGAAAATAAATACATTTCTCTTGCAGAGCTGTGATGATGATTCAGCTGTGTGCAGTGTACCTGGTGGATGATGTGTGCTGAGCAAACGAGGCCCTTAATAGTAATATTGATGAATTAACAATATTCTTCAGAAGACACTACTGAGATGGGCAAGCTACTTGGATCGCTGTGGAACCGTAATCAATGAACATGGTAGATTTTTGGTTACCAAGGAGAGTCCTAACCTCAACTTATAAAATATTAGAGCTAGAAAGGACTTTGGAATGTTTTCTGGAGTCTTTCTTCCTAAATTTTAACTTGCTTTTCTCCTGGTGGTCTTGCCAAGATGCAGAAGGTCTCAGCTAGGCGTTGAGATTCTGTATTTGCAATATTTCTGATGCTGCTAGTCCCAGCTTAGAGTGGAAAGGCTTTAAAACTCTTGACCAAACAATGAGATGCAGACAAGAAAGTGGCTTTTCAAAAATGGCTTGCTAATTCAATCACAAATGCTTGCTTTCCAGTTCCAACTTTCAACCCCAGCCTAGCAAGAACCCAGCTCCTACCCTGAGGCCCTGCTAATTGCAGTACACCAATCTGGAAACTGAAATTGAAACCCTCAGGGTACTTGGACAGAAGTTGTGTGAACTTGGAACAATTCCATTTTCTAATCCCACCTCTTTGTGTAGCTTTATTTGACTACCAAGCCTGGTAGTAGTGTATATTTTGTCCTCACCATACCCCTCGACATATCATCAACTTATATAATCAGGCTGGAGCTCTACTAATAATATTGGGTCCATGAAATCACTTGTTTGGTTGTATGTTTACTCCTTCAGAGATGTCCTTAGCAGTGCAGTAGGATGGAAGAGCATGAACACTGGAATCTGACACAGTTGTGAATCCATTATTCAGCAACCATATAAATTTTAATGAAGCCACTTCATGTATCCAAGTCCCGGATTTTTTGTTGGAATGATAAAAATAATGATGCAAGGGAGTGATAAGTACTACATATAAATATGAAAAAAATGCACCTTTAGCACTGTACCTTCTCATAGAAGGTGCCAAGTCAGTTAACAACATTCATTAAATATTTTCCATGTACTAGATACAGGAAAAAATAAATGAATAAAACAAGATGGCATTTCAGCATTCAGGGATCTTACTCCTGGGGAGAGAGGATCCAAATATCCAGACAAATCAGAGTGGGATGGCAGAGGTAGATCAGTAACAGAGGAAGGGGAGCTTCGTGCCATGTGTGTGTGTGTGACACTCCAAAGTGACCTTCGTGAAGGAAGCAGCAGGGAGGGGTGCTGTGGGAGAAGGTACACCCATGCGACAGTAAGCCCTTGACATAGGAGAGGGCTGCTATTGATGTCTTCATGACCTAAAGAACCCCCACCTTTGTGACTGCCACTACAGTACTTCATGAGAATTATGGCCTTTCAGACTCAGCATACAGTAACAAAACCTCATGGAGTTATGGGCTCTGCCCGCATGCTAATACCATTCATTAAAAAAATGACTGGCGTCTCTATCCCGGGCTCACAGCATGCCTCTGCAAAATAACAGATTATGGCAGCTCACGGGCCTTTGGGGTCCCTGGGAATAGTCAAAGCCACAGATGTCAAATATGCAAATGCCAATATCTACTATAATTAAGTAGCACAGGCCTCCTTCAAAGGAGAACAGAGTATTGACTGGGCTGTACATTTGCCAACCAAATCAGAAAGTGAAAGCTGGAAGATACCTTACCTCCTATTTCACAAATTACAAAGCCGAGATTCAGGGAGGGAAAGGGACTTGTCCAAGATCACACAGCTAGATGGCATAAAAGACTTGGGGTTGGGGGACCAGCTTGTGGAGCAGCGGGTTAAGTCACCCACAGGCATTGCATATTGGAGTCCGAGATGTTCTGCTTCTGATCCAGCTGCCTGCCAATGCACCCGAGAAAGCAGCAGAAGATGGCCCAAGTCCTTGGGTCACTGCAGCCCAAATGGGAGACGTGGATGGAGTTCCAGGCCATTTGGGGAGTGAACCAGCGCATGCAAGCTCTCTCTCTCTCTCTTTCTCTCTCTCTCTTTCCCTCTCTCCCTCCCTCCCTCCCTGCATCTCTCATTGCCTTTCAAGTAAATAAAATTAATCTTGTGTTTTAAAAATTGACAGTGCTGGAAAGGACTTTAGAAGCTACCAATGTAATGCGCACCCCCCTTTCTGGTTTGGATTCTCCATTTTATTTTTATCCATCAGTAAAGGGTTAGAAAGGACAAGGCAGTTCTTGAGTGAGAGATGCTCTGACGTTCTGAATCCAGGAGCATGATGTGACTGCCTCAACTGAGAGTGATAACACAGCATGACTGCTTTTTAACCTTTGGTTCACTTGAGACTGTTCAGGGAGGAAAATATTGGATCCCTAGACATTTTTAAAAAATATTTATTTATCTATTTGAAAATCAGAGTTATACAGTTATAGGAGAGGCAGAGAGAGAGAGGTCTTCCATCCACTAGTTCACTCCCCAATTGGCCACAATGGCCAGAGCTCTGCTGACCCGGAGCCAGGAGCCAGGAGCTTCCTCCAGGTCTTCCCATGTGAGTGCAGGGGCCCAAAGACTTGGGCCATCCTCCACTGCCTTCCCAGGCCATAGCAGAGAGCTGGATTGGAAGTGGAGCAGCTGGGACTCGAATTGGCA